TGCTCCCCGTAAGGGAACATAACAAGTTGCTTTGTAAGCAGTTTCTGGTGGGGTGCCACAGAAGTGAACACCCAAACAGACCTGTGCTACAGGAGGAGCCTCCACCCAGGCACGTCAGGGGGCACCTATGCGTGTACAAGGACGCAGTCCAGCAATACGTAGACCAACCACTGGACCCGACGACGTACAGACGAGAAATCAACGACATCGCTAGAGAGTCAGTCACCACCTACCTTGACTCCCGGCCTATGAATGCCGTGATCGGATCCCAATCACCACCCGTAGAAGAGACGGAAGAGAAGAGTCAAGTTATGTAGATTCCCGCCCTTTGAATGCCGTTCTAGGCACACAACCACCGGACGTGGACGGAACAGAACTTTGTCTGCCTCGGGAGACCCGCACTACAATAGCCCAACTTCGCTCTGGCTATTGCAGCAGATTCAACTCCTACTTGAGCAGAATCAACGAGGATGTGCCCAACCAATGCCCGGCATGTGGAGAGTCGCCATATAACTCCCGGCACCTCTTCACATGCTAACGCCCCTGTCCCTATGGACAGCCCCTGTGAATTTGGCACACTTCCTGGGCCTTCCCCTAGCTGAAATTGACGACAACGTTGATGGATGAACCGCCCCGAACGGGGCTTGGTAGCCGCTACAACAACAACAACAACAACAACGGAGCTTCAATTGCCAAGAGAGACCCGCGTTACCCTGGCCCAATTACGGTCTGGATACTGTAGCTACCTGTCCAGACTCGACCCCAACATCCCCAATGAGTGTCCGGCATGAGGAGAATCTCCTCATGACACCAACCACCTCTTCACATGCCAGCTCAATCCGACTCAACTGACACCCCTCTCCCTCTGGTCCGACCCTATTGAAACAGCTCGTTTCCTGGGCCTTCCGTTAGTTGAGCTTTACAACAATGATTGAATGTAGACCCGAAATAGGCGGGGCTTAGTAGTGCCGCTACAACAACAACAACAACGACTGAGATACTAGCCGATCTAGGCGGGGTTGTTTTAGCCGCTACAAAAACAACAGCAACAAGCAGTAATACCACAAGCGCTCTAGAAATACCACTTTCGGTTAGTTTATTCTTTGAAATAGTTTGAATGATAAAATATTATCTATGGGCGTCAAAAAAAAGAGAAAGATATTTTTGTTGGTTAAATAGAAACTGTGGGTAAGTCTCGATATAATAAAGTGAAAAGTTGTATGTGAAATATATATAAAAATAATACATACCTTTTTTCAATGTCCTCCAAATCAAGATTGACCTTTTTTATTCTCTTTTCCGTAGATATAAGATCGTTTTTACAATTCAAAAGTTTACGTTTTCGATCTTCGACAGATATTTCTTGAAGCGCTGTAATCAATTCATCTCGCCTTCGAAAAAGATTGTTGGTTAAGAGATTATCAAGTTTATTTTTTACAACTTCTAATTGCATTCTTTGAGTGAATGCTTCTTTGTTCTCTTGATTCAACTTCCTTATATCTTCATTAAGCTGATCTATTTCTCGTTGGTCCTGTACCGATAAACTGGATAACAATTCTTGATTTAGCTCTGCTTCCAATCCAGCCTTGGTGCTATTCATCGCTTCTAAACTTGCTTTGCATTGAGTAGCAGATCTTTCCCTCGTTGATCTATATTTCTCAATTCTTAATAATTCTTCTTTCATTAGACGAATTTCTCCTTGAAGTTTTTCAAAAATGTCTTTCGTCTTTCCTTGTTTTGTTTCAGTTTTCTGAATATCCGAAACAACTGAATTAATACTATTTTCGGTTTGTTTAATCTCGTTTCGTAGTTTGCCAAGCTCCTTTTCGAAATCACGATTTTGCTGAGTGTATTCAGTACGTTTCTTTTGTATTTCTAGTCGTGATCTAGACGTATTGAAATAGCCACCTGTTAAAGACCCTTTCGACGACACTTGATCGCCATCTAAAGTAACACAATCTAACCCAGTACTTTTAGCCAACTCTGTCGCCCTTTCCAAATTTCTACATATCAGAGTTTTCCCAAATATATACCTTAATGCTTTGTCATGCTGTTCATCATATTTGAGTTTTGAGAGCATTGGAATAGAATCTGGATCGTCAGGGTAATCATGTATCTTCACCTGTAAACGATTAAGGGGCATAAATGTAACTTCTCCTGGAAGTTTAAGTTTATTCATTTCTTTTAAAATTTGCGTGCCTACTTTGTCGGACTCAACAATATGATGGAATAATCTATTTCCAGCGGTAACTTCTACAGCTGTATATATTGTCTTATCGCAACTGAAGTTTTCAATAACTGGGCCGTAGTACGATTTGGCTATTTCCGCAAAAGGACTGCCACGCTCAAAAAAATTATCCAAAACTTTGCGAACGGAATCTCGACCATTTAATATAGGCTTCCCAGCCATACTTCTAAGCGCCTGGTCTGTTTTCGAAAGTTCCTCCTTGTGCGTTTGTAGTTGCTGTGTCATTTGTGTTTCCTTGCGCCACAATTCATTTCTCATTGCTTGATATTGGTCTTTTGTCTTCTTCAATTCGTAGTACTTTTTATTGTGCTCGTCAATTTGAAGCCTTAACTGCTCTAGCTCGTTCGAGTGCTCTTCAATTTTGCGATTAAGATCAGCTTCAGCGTTACTATCCTTCTTCAAATCTTCGACTAATTTTGTGTTATGGTTTATTTTGTCTCGTATTTGTTTACTTAGAGACTTTAATTCATTTAGTATCCATTTGTCTCTTTCCTCACGTGACGAAAATTGCGATCCTCGCCCCTGCTTCGCGTACAACTCATTCCTTTTTTGTTCTTTCAAGGCGAGCTCTCGTGAACATTCTTCTTCTTTGCGCTTCATAGCTTCGTATTTTGGTTTAACTTCGTCCAACTCCCTTTCCTTTTCAGCAATGGTTATTTTTAATTTTTTTAACTCAAGGTCTGCCCTTTCCTTTGATTTGTTGTCACCTTGAACTTCATCATTAAGATCAACTATTATGAGGTCAAGCTTTGTTTTTTCACGCAAAAGTTGTTGTTGCTCTGTCAACAGTACGGACCGCTCCTCCTTCGTTGAAACAACATCTTTTTTAGCGTCCTTTAGTCGTTTTTGCACGTCTTTTATGTTTTCTTGAGCCTTCTGGATTTCTAAATTGTAGACCTTTTTCTTATCAACAGACGATTTTTTCTGTTCATTCAAATCATCTAGTGCTTTTTTGGTCTCCTTTAATTCAGTTTCGTGTATTATGTACTCTAGCATTCGCCTTGCTTTATCCCATTTTTGATATTCTTTAAGCTCTTCCTTTTCTTCTTCTAAAGTTTTCAAACGATCTTCTATAGTTCTCAAATACTCCGATATCTTTTCGAGTTTTCCTTCGGTTTCACGTAAAATATTGAGTGATTCCTCTTTCCTCTCATCATAAACGCGAGTTCCAGCCACTTCGCGTAATAATTTTAATCTGTAAGAATCTGCAGCTGTAGCCATTTGATTGATTTTTCCTTGCTTCACAATATAGTACGGATTAGAGTTTGAAAATCCAGCCGATTCGAGCAAGTTAACAACTTCAGTTCTTGGAACTACTTTTTTGTTTAAAAAGTATTGATCTTTTTTGGACCCAATAACTCTTCGTAGATATATTTCTTCCTTGTCTATCTATAATAAAAATATAGGGTAAATAATATGTACATATACATACATATGTACGAGTATATGAATGTATGTGTGTACATTTATAATTTTAACCGACTTCAAAAAAAGGAGGTTATCAATTCGTCGGAATACTTTTTTTGTGTATGTTACCGGATATCTTTGAACCACGTTAATCAATATATAGTCTTTTTCAAAAGGATAGGTGGTACCTCCGAGGTGGTCCCATGTTAATTTGGTTTAGATCCGATCAGATTTGAAGTCGGTTTTGTTTTTTGCTTAAAAATTACTTGTTTAACTAAAAATGTATATTACAAATTTTAATTATACGCACATACATACATAGATACCACTTAAATTGGCCTATATTTAGTGTAAATACTGAGTTAAACCACCGCAAGCGAAACAATTGTTGTCACGAAGTTTTGAAAAAAGTATATCATTGTGAAGTGCTTATCGTTACCTTAATATAGAAAGGCCCTAACTCATATAGTCGCTGAAATACAAAAAGCCATTACTAAGTAAAAATCCAAAATTCCTGTTTTGATTGATTATGATGCATTTCATCGAATTATAAGTCCCCGCATCATTTTAGGCAATAAAAACTTTTAGTCAGATACGGCTTTTTTGCCTTTCAGCGACTATGTATGAGTTAGGGCCTTTCCATATTAAGGTAACGTTACGATGCTTTTGCTGGCAAATTATATTTTAGAGCATGACAAATTTGAAAACTGAATTTTCTCTAAAATATGATAGATAGGGGGATAAAATTTCTCACATTTACTTTTTCTTATACCAAAACAACAACGTCAATTAGTTATAAATAATTGTTTTTTCAATAATTTCCTTTAACAAAACAGCAAAAATAGCACTCGTATGACAAAATGTTTTAAGTAAATTTACCATTAAAGATGTCAAACTTTACGATGGCAATAGTTTTGTTCGTCGAAAATCCAGCAGGAATTATCCAACACTCAAAATCATCGCAGTTTTTCCTAAATAAAAACAGTATCAGCTGATTGCCAAAAAATGGCTACAGCTGAGATCACGTGTTTTTTGACACAATTACTTTCATTTCTATTACATTTTCTCCATTTCTATTACAATTTATTCAAAATACCCTAACACACTGAACCAAAAACACCAATACATTAACCAAAAGCACGCCTAAGGCCTGACAGAAAAAACGGTGAGAAGAGTTACGTTACTTATGGAACTGTCCGATTCTCAAAATATTATAGAGTAAGAAAAAATTCTCTCAAATTCTCTCAAGTAGAAAAACAAATTTCCGCATATTTCTGCACGAAGGCAAATTTGCAGGAATTTGCAAGTTTCCCTGCCCGTGGACACCAGGGTTGAACTGCAAACATAATAAATATTTTTAGAATTTTTAAAATTCTTTCCGATGTACAAAAAACAGGATCGACATATATACATTTATATTTCTTGTTGTTCTTCCTTTCTTTAACATTCATTCATTTCAATTTCTTTATCGTACCAGCTGTCAGGTTTCCTAAATCGACTCTGGCTGCGATTGCATTCCGATTACGAATACAATTTTTTTTTCAGCCGAGTACATTTCAAATCTTTGGAATTAACTAAATTAAATATATCAACAAGTATTTACTTATACTTCGCCTAAAAATCGCGCATGTTTATAAATTTTTAAACTTAACGAACTTATTTATTCAAATTATCGTCGACAAAAATGCAACCATGTGCCACCAGCATATGCTTTCCGTGATGGCAAATCTCTCGAAGAGAACTGTCCGTTTGCGCTCTCAACTTTTGAGTGATGGATAATTTTTCGGTCTGCACGTACGTGATTTGAACAAAAATCATGATTATTCGTAGAAATTCGTACAAATTTGTATATCCATTGAGGGCTGACTATGTAATAATTATTTCAAAAATTTAATTGTTTATAACTTTTTTAAATAAAAATAATTAAACAGTATCTAATGGGTACGATGCGATTACTATACCCAAAGATATTGAATTTGGAATATGGCAAACTTTGAGCCTTCATATCTCTAAAAAAAATTTTTTTTTAAGAATTCCCGATACTAAATTTCGAAGGAAATTCTATAAAAAGGTTGGTGTCATTTAAAAAAGTTAATCTTCTTTGTGAAATTCCTACGATCTAAAAGAAAGACCCACATAGGTCTTATGTATGAATGTATTTATGCAGCATATTTATAAGCAAATGAAAGATAAGTCATACTTACTGGAACACGATTATCGCTATTATCGAATATGATCTCTACGTATGCTGAAATTACTCGAGCTCCCGTACCTTCATGCAAGAGCGCTTGCCTTTGCTCTGGGCGAAGATGAGTAAATTCGTCACTAAGAACAAACTGTATTGCTAAAATACACAAAAAAATTATTTATTTTATTAATACATATATGAGCATGGACATTTTCAAGAGGCGCATAGACCGCGCTTAAGGTACATTTATTTATTATATCTTTACTAGTATACATCGTATAAGCTTCGTTTTACAGCGTAACTCATATAAGTATCGTAAAAGATTGTCGTAAACGCGATTTTGACGATTTTTAGTTAAAGATGCAGTTTTATTTTTTTAAATAAGATCTTTCGATTAGTGTTATCAGTTTTTGGATAGCTCCTTTAGTTTCCGAGATATTGAGTAATATTTTGTCGTATTTGTAAGTTCGCAAGCGACTCAGTCAACATTTTGTTGTATGTGACGAAAGATTTCACATACGACAAAATTTCCATACAGTTTGATGAAATTGATTACTTGTTAAAATAGTGTCTTATGTGACAAATTGTAAGATACATACAACAAAATCACACCGCAATAGGTGGTCGAATACGCTATGGCAACTCGTATTGACAATAAACAGCTTTGCATTTAGTTGCGAAAATGATGTCATGCAGAGGAGCAGAATTACCATCGCTGGCATTGCCAGAAGATCTTTGGGCGTAAGTATATTTCTTATTGTTACAAAACTAAAATAAAATTAATATTATAATTACTTTTTTAGCATTAAATATTAGGCCCGGAATTGTGTAAAGAAGAAAATTTAACATTAAAGGATTTTTAGGAGGCCGCATATGAAATAGTGGCATCCACACCATCAGCTGTTGAACAAAGCGAAAATTTTCAACTAAATAATAGCACATATGAAATAGTGCCAATCACACCATCAGCTGCTGAACAAAGCGGAAATGAATTGATTGTTACTAATATTTGTTGATTTTATTCATTAGCTTATTTCTCAGGTGTATTAGATTCTCTATTTTGCGTACGAGCAATAACTAATTTCATTTTGTCGTATGTCATACAGCTGGCTCGCGTTTAACGTGAAAATGTAACTTACGACAAAATGATTTTAGGAAAAGTGGCTGAAAAAGCTATATTAGTTACTGAAAATTTAAGAAAATGTGGATTTATACTTTAAATAGTATGTACATTGAAGCATTAAATTTTGGTCAAAAACGATTGTACAGCTTTTGAGAAATTGTTACTGAATATTTAACATCGATTTCCCAAAACCTGCCGAAAGTAACACACGGCAATCTTTTAGCCAGGCGACGATATATATGTACCAGGTGGCGAAATTGAAATGTCTGTTTTTAAAAATAACATAGCTTTGTTGTTTTTAAAAATAACATAGCTTTGTTGTTGTTGCTTCTTTATTGTTATATTTTATAAAATGTTAGAGGGCATATTTAAGTTTATCTTCAAATCACTCCATTGGAATGTAACCGCCGTTGGCGTTGACAACGCATCCAAGCCCTTTCCGGAATGCCTGGCAAGTTGTACGAATGATATTCTGATCTATTCGGTTCCATTCTCACGTCAAAGAGTTTTTCAGCGCATCCAGTGTTAGCCTGTAAAATGCTCCAAATTCCATAATCCAGAGCATTCAAATCCGGCGATGATAACGGCCACTGTTCGTGCTTAATAAATGAAAAAACGTTTTCTGTAAGCCAATTTTGCGTACCTTTTTTGCGTGGCTTTACGTGAAGGTGCCGAGTCTGCTGAAATGTCCACCGCTCCGAACCAAATTCATTGCGTGTCCATGGTAGCAAGGCACCTTCTAACACTTTCTCCCGGTAGATTTGCTGATTTGTTTTTACCTCGTTCCGGCCCATTGGAAGAAAAAGAAGCCGAGAACGGCCTTTTTCAGTGACTGCGGGCCACATCATAATTTGGTCGGCACCTTGGCGTCGAGTGACTCTTAATTCGTCAGAATGATCACGGGAACGTCCTTTTAAACAAACCCGATCGTTTTGCTTGGTGACGAACTGCTCCACACAAAACGTTTTCTAGTCAGAAAATACTAATTTTCACGATGCAGCGAAACAAAGGTGGCGCCTTCCACGGACCGCTGACGTCACATTATTATTTTTTAGCACTAGTGATGAATATTAAATATTCATATTGTACCTATTTGCCGAAAAGTTGTACCCAAAAGTAGATACGCGTACCTAAACAGTAAACATGTACTCTTATGTTCATATATTTTTGATAGTTGGGGGAATACATCTTCCTTCTGTACCATAACAACTTTTGGACTTACATGAAACAATATTTTACTGCGTTCCAAATGTACCTAAAATTATGTGATTGTACCGAATGTACGTTCAAATTTAAGAAGCTGAAAAGTTGGTGCAATTCATCCTAGTTGTGTATCACTATTTCGCACCACTTGTTCGCTTCTTCCTCTTCTTCTTCAAAATTATTCTTTACAATCTCATTCTCATAATAATGTGACGTCACACCCAGTTGCTCTCAGCTCGATTGGCGCAATCTTGTATTCTATCATTCTTGACTAATTTTGGCAATTCGCCGCAATCGTACAAGCGAATCAGCTCTTTTGATCGCTCCAGTCGTTTTTTCGCTGCAAAGCTGTTAATTCTTGGGACACAGTTTTTTTGAAAGGATGTATTTTGAGCTTGTTTTTAATTATGCGTTGGACGGACCTGCGGCTCAAACCTCGTTATTTCGCAAGCTGATTTACACTGCACTTCATGTTTCGATAAAGTCGTAGACGAACTTTTTCAACGTTATGAGCTGCC